TTGGTGAAATAATATCTTTATTATTTCACTTTTATTTGTGCTTTAAATTCGAACATTTTTCGAAAATGTGTTTTTAAAAATGAAACAAAGGGAAATCTAAAAATCGGAGCCTGTGAGGATCTGGCCCTAAGGATACTCTACAAGTTAAAAACCACCCGGGCTTGGTAGCTCGTGTCCTTATTGTGAAATCCTTGCCTGCGTACAGGGTACTTTTGACCAATGAATTTACTATAACTCGTGAGTACCTTGGAGATTTGGCGAGATATTTTAACTGTAATCTATTCTAGCCACGACTAACATTCTCTGAAATTCTGGTTAAAATCGGATGAAGAATAAAAAAGTTTGCTTCTGAGGGGGGGGGGTCCCCTTAAGTATCCCGTCGCATGAAAGTTTTGATATGAAATATTCGCTTATTTCTCAGTTGAGCTCATCGAATTCAATTTTTTTCTATTGATTATTAGTATTCTACAAGAGCAATTGTTGAATGTCAAAAGAAGTCCAGTAGAATTAGAAACTAACACTTTTTTTTCAATATATGTTCAGAATTGGATTGTGATGAACTTTGCTTTTAAATTCAAAATAATATTAGTAGAAAACTACATCGAGAGTTTTTCAAGACTCTTAGTTTGTGTCATTTGTACTTCGGAGCAGTCTTAATCAGATAGGTTGTGTAGAGCATCTGATTCTCTACAACATAAGCTATTACAATCAGCGAAATTTCACACCACTCAAAAGTTAAGACTTCTTCTGCAAGAGCTATTCTATTCTTTAAAAAATATGCTCATAGTTAGCTATGATTACACATCTGAAAAATATTCTGAATATATATTCGAAAAGAAAATCATATTTTGATTATAATGGACTTGTTTTAGTGCTCGATAAATGTTTGTAACTGAATTTTTTTTATCCATGAAAGAGTGTTATCGATAAACTTAACGCGGACAGAGTCATATGAAGTCTATTTATTTGAAATACGATCTACAAGAAGTGTTAAGGTATAATGACACTTCATTCTCTATTCTATGAACTACGTCATTATTCCATCTCTGCAGTGATTGTACTAACAGCTGTTATTTAGCAAAGCAATAATAAAATAAATCTTTCTACTTCTATCATAGAGCAATCATAAAAGATAGAATGTTTATTTATATGATTAAAATACATACCCGAGGATTTTCAAGTTCTCGTTCTTCTTTAATTCGATTTCGTTTATGTTTCACACATTCATGTTCTGCTTGTTCAATTAAAGATGGAAGATTTTGTAATGTTATTTGTTTTAAATTTTCAACCGGCTAAACGAGAAAGAAAAACAAAAGAGTTCGAAAACAATTGAGAATAACTAAAGTTACTGGAAATTCTAAAACTGCTTGTTCAACAATAGTAAAATTTGATTCAATATCAGTTTTTAAAAGACAAATTTCTAAGCCTCTAAAAAAAGACAAGAAATCAAGAAGAAAATTGCTCATTTTTAACTTTACTTTTCTGCAAATGTTCTTGCATGAATAATTAAATCTCGTTGTAATTTTATTTGTTCTTCATATTGTTCAAAAAGAAGCCACGATTGAAGAATTTTAACAAGATGTAAACAAAGTTGTTTATCATTCTAAATAATAAAATTTAGAAATCAAAAGAAAAAGATTTTTTCTTAAACATCTCTATACATCTATTTCATTAGCACGTTCTTTTTGTTGAATTTCAAATTTATCAAGTACATCTTGAACTCATGGATTAGCAGCAGCAGCCCATCGTAATCGTTGAATAACTGTTTGTTCACGATTCGTCATTTTATCAATAACTACTGTTGATGTACTATCACTAATAGTTAATATATTTTGATCCTTCGATAGAAAAAGAAAATAATAGAATCACTGATTGACTATTTATTAATAATACCGTTGTTAAATCATCAACTATTGAAGTTTTTATGTCTAGAAAAAAAATATTAAATTGTATCAATAAAAAAAAAAGCTTAGCTCGTTTTCTTACTCAGCATTATTGTAATTTTGCCAAATACCATTTATTTGTGCTAAAATTTGTTGAATCTCAGCCAATTGATTTGTTGGTGTTATTAAACAAGTACTATTCATAAAATCTTGAAATTGATTATCAGTTTGAATAAAAGTATTTTCAAGAATAGATTGAGATGATGGAATTAATGAAAAGATTAAATAACTCATTGCAAGAGAAAGTAAATCAGCAAGCTAAAGAATAAAGAACAATTTATATTGATATATGAAGAGTTATAAACGATGATTTGAGTAAAGGGAATGTTGTCTCAATGGAGAAATCTCTCGACTAATTAATCATTTTTAAGTCGAAACTATGTACATCATGAGAAGAATCCGTACCTGTATATAAAGTTTCAAGTCGAATGTTAGTTTTCCGGGCGTTGTCGAAAGAGAATCACAGTGCTTATTTCAAAATCTATCATAATAAAATAGTGTCATGAATCAAATATATATTATCTTTTGTAGCATCTGACAAATATTAAATTACATAATAGATGAAACTATGTTTTCGATTTACTTACATATTGAACAATAATAGTGCTAATATCACCATCGTTTGTTATTTGTGATTTAACATCTATTTAATAAACAAAGTAATAGATTCGAAAGATTTCATTTTTTAAATTTTCATTTTACTATTAAATGTTTGTGAATGATCAATAATCAATTGACAAACGTGTCGCATTGTAGCAATTTTACTCATAGCAAAAAAATTTGTTAAAAATTGTTGATGTAAATCGTTATCAATATTTGCCTAAATTTAAAAACAAAATCCTTGTTTATATTTCAAAAAATAGAAAGATAAACCTGTTTCTAATCAAATAATGGCGATTGTAACCAAACTAAAGGTATATCCAGCGTTTGAAAAAGTGTATAAATATTATTCAATTCTTTATCAAGATCATCGAAAGAATCTGATAAATTTAAAAATGTATCGAATATTTTATCTGATGCTAAAACATAAATCTTAGATAGAATATAATCAAATAATATCCAATCATACATGCCCAAGACGAACGAAGTTGTTGATAAACCTCTTGACATGTATCATCGACTGATGCGGTTGACTATTGAATTAAAAACAAAACATGTGATGATTTCTTTTTTGTTCTTGTAGCAAACAAATACAATAACTTACATTTGATGTTGTCATATGTTGGATTTGTTTGAAAGCATGATTAAGTAAATCCATACAGACGATAAGACTATTCTGTTTAGAACACGCACCACGAATTAAAGATGGAATTGTAGTCAGTTCAAAATTGTTTAATAAATTCTATTTAATTAAATAAAATATTTATTCAGAGAATCTTAATGAGTATCTCTAATAGAGACACTTTTTCGAAATTAAAATAAAATATTATGATGAACCAAATAATTTATGAGAGTACAAACCTTTAATAATCGAAAGACATTTTCTAAACTATTAATTAATTTGACTGTATTGCTCATAAGTGGAGAATTCGATGACTAAAACAAATAGAAATTTTTCTTTTCTTTTTTTTATGTTGAAATTCAATTTACCATGGCCGTGTTATTTTATTGAATAATTGAAGCAAGATAAGCAGTATTACTAATAAGTGTATAGATTTCATTAATAAATGTATCATTATTGATATCTGTCAATGATGAAAGATTAAATAGATTTCTTGCTGTATCACTCATTTGACGAGAATGTTGCCATCGATCAAATAACATCAGTAAAAGTGTATTATGATAATTTATATATTCATTATTATCTAAATCTAATAATTTTGAAACAAAACAGAAAAAAGTGAATTGATTTTGAACTGATGAATTTTATTTACCTTGGAGTTTTGTATCAGGTAAATTTTTATAGAAAGTAACATCAGTAGATGATTGATGAATAAATATTTGTAATTCAGATACCTATAAGAAATAATATTTTCAAATATAAGGTAATTTATATATTTATTTTACTTTTGTGATCTCTTGATTTATAGTTTGAATATATTCATTATATTGATTTTCAATCGATAATGCTCGAATTGTTAATTCGGAACATGATGAAGATGTTTCATCAATTAAGAAATGTGCATCGATATGATTTAAAAATTCTTGACATCTATTTAATAGATAAAAATATGCATAAGAGAAAAAAGAAAGAAAAGAATTTTACTTTTCTGTTGTAAAATTATTACAAAGTTCACTTAAACGATCTTTTAGTTTCGTTAATAATGATGATTCAATATAATCAATAGGTAAATATTGACATAGATCAACAAGATTCTTTAAAATATTGCCCACTGTTGGTTGTCGTGCTGTTCGATAAATTTTTAAAGTATTTCGTAATTCATCATCCAATTGTTCACTCTAGCAAAAAGAAAGATATTATTATTATTATTTAATTATGAAAGAGATGAAAATAAATCGAAATAAGCTATGAATATCTTGCACAGAAATAGATCTTAACGAGCTTTTTACGTTTTTTTTTGGTCTCGGTGTATTAAATTATATTTCATACTTGATGAAGAAGTGTTGTTTTGCCGGCTGTTTGAAGAAAATCTGCAGCAAGTACAACAGGTGATGTACTAATTAAAACATTATCATTTTCAGCAAAATCATGAAGTTGATCATAGAATGTGTTTGATTTTAAGTCGATATGTGCTTCCTAAAAAAAAAAGCAATAAAAACGAAATGAAAAACACTCATAATGAATTACTTACAGTACTATTTAGTAAGATATTTTCAAGATTTTGATAAAGTGTTAAAACTAAATCTTTTGCTGTGTTCATATCGGTTCGTATTGTTTGTAATTGTTTTCGCCTAAATTAAAATATTTGAAAAAGAAAAAACAAAGAAATATTTGGCCTATCAATAATGAAAATAACGAATGATTTGTTGACGAACTCTCCTCTAATGCCGTTTCAAAATAATCTAAACGTCTTTCCATAATATTCATTTTTATATCATGTTCATTGATATTTTTTTCTAATTCATTTATATCACTAACACGTTGAATTAATTTATTCATAGTACGATTAATTGATTCCCTAAAATATATTTTTTTTTTCTAATATATAAAATGAAAAAATCTTTCATTCAAATTATTTACCCTAGCGTAATCCAATTCTGTCGTATTTCAATTTTACGAATTTGAAACATTCGTAATAAAGCATCTTTTTCAACTTGACGTTTTTTAACTGTTATTTGTTCATATAAATTATTTTGACCACCATAAAAAGCAGCGAGCACACCGGTATCATGACCAGTCCAATCAATTAAAGGATCATAGATGAATGATTCAAGTAAATTAAGTAGAATTTCTTTTCCATTACGTAATATTTTAAGAACATTTTCTGATGATAGTGAAAAAGCACCTTCAAGTCCAGCAATACCGAGTGCATTTTGTAAATTTTGTGTTAAACGATATGGAACTTTTTCTGGTACACGTAATTTTTTACCTTTTTCAAAACAAATATTATAATCAATATGAATTATCTAGAGAAAATAAAATTCGATGCAAATGGGGTTTTTTTTTCTAAGAAAAGAATTTTTACTTGGCCAGATTTTAAATCAACAAGAACATTATCAAGATGACGATCACCAAGACCTATCATATATCCAATCATGGATGTTACAGCTAATGAACGACTAAAATTTAAAACAGAGTGCTCAGATCGATAATTTCGGGATTAGAAAATTGCTACGAGTTTGTCGATGTCGATTAAAGACTGCGTACCTGTAATTTTGAACATTTTTATACCATAAACCAACACTTGGACAACTACACCAAAGTTCCCTAGAAAAATAACAAACGAAAATAGAACGATAATTAAAAATAATTAAAGCTCACCTTGACAAAAGATCTGCTGGTGTTTCACGTATTAATTCTTCAATACATTGACGTAATATTGGCATTGGTACTTCACGTCGATCTTCTACAGGTTGTTTATCCTAAACACATAAATATCATCGAATATATGATCGATAAAACTCGTGTTTATTTTACTTTTTCTTTTAATATAGCATTTAATTTTGAATAATAGACATCATTGGGTTTTTGTGCTGTAGCTAAAGCAATTTCTTGATTGTCATTCTTAATAGAAAAAAAACAAATTCAAAAAAACATTTAGTTTTAAAATATAAATTTTCAACATACTTGAGCTTTCCAAGTTAGTGCTGTTGCTTGTCGTTGTTGCCATCGTTTATAAAGTGTAAATAATGGTGTTGCACCTTCAACCCATTGTATTAAACCACTTCTTGATGCAAGCGGTATAACAGTATAATTTCTAGCTTCATATGACCATGGTTCATTACGATTAATTTTAGTACACATAACATTTATAATGGATAATAATTGCATAATACGTTCATCTAAATGAAGATCTTCAAGACCTTTGAGCAAATATTGATATCGATGACCATTGGATCCAACGAACATTAATTTTTTTTGGACGAGTTTTAGTTGGTAAAACTTGAACAGTTTGACCAACGCTATGAATTGTATGAAACTATTATAAAAAGAAGTCGATTTATAAATAGATTTACAAATGTAATGAAGAAATTCTCAAACCTGTCCATCTTCGCCTGGATTTGGTATAACACTATGTTTTATTTCTGCTAATTTTGGACTTATTTGATTCATAGCACGAATGGTACCTGATCGTTTACCAGTACGATGTAACATTGAATAAAGCTAATATGATTCTATGTTGAAGAAAATTTTAAAAAAAGAACTGTAAGAGCATTAATTCAAGGTTTTGTTTTACCTGTCGAAGTTGTAACCAGCACGAGTGTGGATTAGATAATGTAATAGGTTGTTTTAGTTGTTCAATTGCTGTATCGATTTGTTTACTATAGTCTTTTTGAAAGGTTTGTTCACGTGGTGTTTCAGCAGGTGCACGAGTTATTTATATAGAATGAGAGGAAAAAAAATGAGAATACGAACTTGTTTTCAGTATGTGTACAAGCTATAAACTACTTAACATAAATTTAACCAATAAATCTTCTATCAAAGAGACTATTAATAGCGTTTTTTTTGCTCAAGGTAAAATTCACTCAAATATAGGATAAAAGTTCACCGATTACAACATCATCGGCATATACATCTGGCTCTAAAAGTTGAATTTAGTTCTATCACATTGATACAACTAAGCATGTATAACAATAAAAATCAGATATACATATTTGTCAAGAATATAAATATGAATATAATCGTTTTAACAACATTGAACACACGTCTACATTACAATCGAACAGGTACGAACGTATCAAGCCAGATATAGATTTGACATTCGATACGTTCTCTGTCACAACAACCGCAACTGACGCAACCTTCATACAAATAAATTTCATAACATTTATATTTATTGTCATCCAGAAGATTAAAAAATTTATGTAAAAATTAAAAAAAAGAAAAATAATTTATAAAATAGAAAAACACAGAATAAAACTTCGTAATTGTTTCGTTTTTCATTCAATATAAAATAGCCGTATCATCTCGCAATTGTGCTAATCGCGCTTTACGCACTAATGTTAAATTCGAACATTTATTTGTACGATTATAAATAGGTTCAAGTGAATTATTATTACTTGAATCCGTTCCTGTTATTGTTGACGGAGGCGATATTGAACGGTAATAATCAAATGGTAATAAATCGGTTGTTTGACGACAACTCTGAGTATGTTTTAATGAATGTTTCACGCGTTCTTCTTGTTTCAAACGTAATACATGATCAAGTTCAGTGAGAAATCGATATTCTGTATGATTTGAATGTGTAGGTGTAACTGCTAAATTCGAAACGGCGGTTAATACAGTAGATGACGAAGCATATACAGGTTCATTTGATAGATTTTTACATTGACTAAAGGAAAAAAAGCAAATTTTGAGTTTCACAAGGAAAAAACACAAAAAGAATTTTTTCCTACCAATATCTTCTTGGCAGTGTTTCTTCAAATTGCCACGAACTAGCGGTTAACGTGGAATCATTGCTAAGTAGTTGTTCTAAATTTTTTACATTTTGATTAATTAAATGTGGCGGATCAAATGATAATGTCAGAGCTGAATCATTTGTATTAAATCTTCGTTTCTTTCGTCTTTTATCATTACTAATCTTACTGATATTATTAGTGTTGTTGCTATTGTGATGAATTTTGGTTGTTGAAGAAAATTTTTGTGAACGTTGATATTGTGGTCGATAATATGGCGATATGGGAGGTGAATTATTCTCTTCTTCTGAACGCATACGTTCCGCTTTCGATCGGTAATGACGTAAGATAAACCAACATAGAAAACAAATTATTAATACAATACTAATTAAACCAATAATACTAAATATAACAGTTATAATTATTTTGTCACGCACATCGAAAGCCATTCTATTTTAGAAGTATATCTAAAACAAAACGAAGACCGATGATGATATAATAGGAAAAAAGTATTCGAAATGCCATTATACTTTTTTGCAAGTTTCCTTTTAGTAATAAACACATTTCTATCCTGCTGTGCACATTTATACTCAAGTTAATCGACACTGAATTGCACATGCACATATGCTGACACATTGTCACCGTATGTTAAATGAATGAACAATCTTTTTTTCTTCTTTTGCTGAACTTGCTGAACTATCGTGCACACAGATGCAGCTTTTTTTTGTGTCTTTCTGCCTCACTCACGCTGAACCGTACTACAATATATATATATATATATATATATTATAGGAAGGGAAAGTGAAGAACAAACGAGAGAATGATTTGAACTCAGCTTGTGCGCAACAGCACTTCGTCGAGACAATTTCTCTTTCTCTCTCTCTCGCTTTCTCTTTACTGTTCTTTTCTACTTAGATTTACAATTACAGACACACTTCGATGTGTGTGTGCATTATTTGTTAAAGAAACTTCGTACATATATATATATAATATTGATCGGTACGTATAAAATTAATAGAAACGAACTACAGTACACAATACGACTATAGCATGGATTAAAATAAAGAGAAAGTTAAATGACTTTTGTCATTTATTAAAATGAGTAAGTAGTCTGCAGACTGTTAGCACAATGCTCTCTATGCGCATGAATGGAAACTGTTGATTACCATCTGTTGCTTACCTGTCAATCGAATGATGATTTCAAGACACGACCACTTCATTATTAATATATATTGAAAAAGTAGAGTAACGCTCAAACGTATTGTTCTAATATTCTGTTCATACACGTTTACATGAATATAAGAATGTCATTGTTCTTCGTGATTTCTTTTTTCGTCGTATAACAACAAATCATGCTCTAGTTCGCATTCTTTGAATGGAAAGTCAATAATAAAAAGGTTGCTGATAGAATGTCATTACTGTCTGTGATAAAAAAAAAAGAGTCTACCAGAGAGGTTACATATTGCATAAGCTAAATAGAATAAAAAAGAAGAAGAAAATTTTTTTTCTATCAAATGAAAACATTTATATGTTGTGATCATCAGAATAGAATAAAATGTTAAGAAGGACAAGTCGATTCGATTACGCTTATAGCATACAGGTGGAGAAAAAAAAAGAATTCGATTTTTCTTTCTTTCAAGGTTACTATATTGATATTTCAAGTTTTAATTTACAATTTCAAGGATATTTTTAAAGTATCGATTGACTACTAATTATACTGTTCTCCTATATTCAGAGGAATTCTCTTGATTTACTAAAGACAAGAGAACAAGACCATTTCAAGATGTATTGACAATAGCCGAAATTTCAATTTCTTTTTGAATGAATTGGCTTGGTTTTGTAATTTATTTTAAAAGAAAAATTCACATTTGTTTTTTGTGCTTCCCATTCGGAACCTTTTCATAAGTTTAATTATTGAAGATCCTTGAACATACTTATAATTGCAACATTAGCATATACGATTGGATACAAATACTGATAGTAACTAACATATAATTTTGATCGAACCCATTGACAGTTGGCAATGTCGTCTATAGTTGAAGGATCTCTTTTCATATAGAATGTAATTAGAAATTTTACTTAACTAAAACTATTCAGCTCTGTATCGATATGAAAGATCATTTAATGCTATTTCATCTGTCAATAACAAGCGGCGTAAGTCGAACAATTCTTTTTTTGCGACATGACTTTTCTTGTTCATCTGTTATAATTACGTATTCAAATTTGGTGTGTCAACGTAAACAATTTTATAATCAAAAACAAATTTCGTATTTTTAAATAAATAAAAACATAAGCCATTTAGAGTTCTTGAGTAAAAATATATGTTTTCTTTACATTATTTATTTTTTCCTTATTAAAATACATTTATTTTTATAATTGACATTACATTCAAAAAACCAAAAGCATTCGTTCATCATTATTTATGATTAAAAATAAGATCAAAAATAAACATGTTCAATTAGGGATTTTTTTCAACTTATTTTTTACTGTTGTCACGCATTTTTTGAACACCTTTTGCCAATAGTAAACCACCAATAATACCAAATAAACCGGCTATGGCGGGTCCAACGTATTGCCCGAAATCGGATTCAGGTTCCTCTTCTTTTCTCATTTTTTGTATACGATCTTGAATCTGCTGAGCATAACCAGGTGGGCGTTCAGGTGTTCTTTTACCATATTGTCGTTCGATTATGTCGCGTACAATATAGTTTCCTGGAAGACTATCAACCGAACTATTTGTTAAATTTGATGGCAAACGGCAATTAGGACCTAGATAAGTTTTCGTTCAAAAGCAAGAAAAATTAATTTAAGAAAAAAAACATACAAACGATAGTATTTGATTGTCCAAATCTACTTGCTGTTGATTGAAGATGAATTTTTAAACAATTCGCACAAAATGTATGTTGACAGTCGAGCACTTTTGGATCATGTAGTATATCCAAGCATATTGGACATTGAAGAAGATCATCAAGATTTGATGCTGTAGCCATAAGAAAACAATTTATTATTGATACTGCAAAAAAAGAACATTGAAGGATTATTGGTTTAAAAAAATTTAAATCAAAGGCTGATTGCATAATTCTACTACTATAGATGCTAGGATTATCAATTCGTTTGTCGGATCCACTCAACATCGGCCTTGGTTTCGATTACGCATAAATAGAAGTTGTGCATCAATAAAAAAAAATGTTTCTTATGATCGAAATTCAATGAATGCGATATTGAATATGTCTACTTCAAAAATGAAACTATTTTGCAAGAGAAAACAAGAAAATGTTGGAAGTTGAGTTTTGATACATGGCTGTTATACTTGAATTCAATTAGATACTAATCTCGATATTTCACCTTGAAATAAAATAGTTTTTTCAAGTTTACTTATTACAAAAAAGTAAATGATTTAAACGTAAAAAATAGAATATTGCTTCACTTGAAACTTGTGTTACGGAGAAAACAATACTAGTTCTATAGAAAGGATTGGTAAAATAATGAGAACTTTTCGTTTTCTATTTAGTTTAACTTACCACAACGGAATCGACTGTTTCTTATTCTCGATAGAAATATTATCTAAAACGAAAAATACAAATACGATCAATTTAATTTAATCTGACAATAAAATTACACAATAGACAAAACAAAAATAAAATGAGAAATATACGAGAAAAAGAACACTTATTCTTCATGAGATGTCGACTGTTTCGGGCTAGTTCCACCTAGAAAGCCTTCATTAATTCTTCTCAACTCATCACGAGCAGATTTTAAAAGCGTTGTGAATTCTTGTCCACCGGATGATTTATTAAATACAAATCGTCGTACAGCATCGAATGAACTAGTTGATTGTTCAGCAGTAGTAGCATCATTTATTTGAGCTAAACTATACGTTTCACGCATTGATGCTGATAATTCAGAACAATCCACTGTTTTCGATTTAACAAGTGATGAACCACCAAAAGGTTTCTATACAAAACGAAAGCAATACGAATTTTAACAGAAAAAAAGTTATAATTTGGTACCATAGCTGAAACTACATCATCATCTTCGTCGTTATCAAATGAGTCGTCTCGTTTTGTCGCTATCTGAACGACTAAAAGAAAAACATGAATTTTCTATTGCATGAATAAAGAATTTTAGTTTACCTGACGCATAAGTTTCAGGATATTTTTTGTTCAATCGCATTTTAAGTAATCTAAATGAACATATAATTTCATCTACAATTCATAAAACGTTTTCTTTTATTCATACTTAATTCGTTTAAAAATCAAATCTAGATCTTTTTTCATCGCTGTCAGCATTTGTGTATGCGTTGTAAAATCTCTTGTTGCATCTAAATAACGTTCAGCTGATATTTTATTAATTCCATCTAATTTTTCATTTGTTTTATCTATTTGTTCGAGTCTAATGAAGAAAAAAATGTTGATAGGAAAAAATTGCTGTCAAGGAAAGTAATTTGTCAACATACAATAAACTTTGAGCATGAAGTAATCCATTAACATCTTGTCTATTAATTTCATTTGAAAATAAATTGACAATCAATGCTCCAGTTGTATCAAGTGTATATGGAGTTGAGTCAACATTAGCCTCCATTAATAATGGGAAATATTTGCAATGCTAGGCCCAAAACAAGTAATGTTATTGTTTACTTTTTAGAAGAAATTTGATGAATCACTAATTTGATAATGATTCATATGCGGATCATTACAATATAAATTAGATATTTAAAATCAGAAAATATGATCTACATTCTTTTATAATATAATGGTGTTTTTTTTTCCAAATTTGATTGCATTTGAGTGATTAGTCATACGTTACATCAGTTAGTTAATTGGGCAAAATAGTTAATTATTTTTGTTTAGAAAATAGGAAAGATCTTGATTTAGGTATTTGATTTGCAATATTTTTAATATAAATATCAAAGCGATATGTATCATAAAAGTATTGCAGTACATTCGCTAAAGATAGATTGTATGTTGATGACCTCTGTCGATTATTCATAGCTCGTAACCCATGTCCAAAAAAAACAGTGCGCAAGCGCCATGAAACGGCTATACAACGTTGAAAGGCGTCGCCGTTTTCCATCAGCTCGGAAAATATGGTGAACAAAGTGTTAAAAACGATGGCCGTTTTCTAGTGAAAAAAAAGGCCTGTAGAACGAGCTGACGGATTACGCAAAATAAGGTGAAAATGAATGCCTTATTATACCCTTTTAAAGGCATTTCAGGCCTTTTAAGATGCCCGTTCCGACGATCGAAATGATTGTCCTGGAAAGGGACTAAACGGATTCTTGAGGGTGTGGGTGTTGCTATTCTAACTGCTTCACCCACATTCACACCCTGAAGATTTTTCTATATTCATCATTTAGTAACGATGAGTTAAACTCTGTTTTTCGTTTATCAATCTATTGGTGAATAGCTCCATCTACAAAATTTTCCTTTAAAATTTCAACAAGATTGGTCAATGCACTCCAACCTTTCAACATTCTATCTGTTTTCATTAATTGATCGGAGTTTTGTGGAGAAAAAAAAATAAGAACAAACGCTTGCCGAAAGAACGAAAAAAAATTGATAATCACCTTGAACAATAAGAAGAAAAAATAGTTTGTACAGCTTCTTTTTTTTTTCTTAGATGCTATTGTCAATGTTTCATTGCTAAGCTCTCCATTCATTGATCCTTTTTTTATTAAATGCCTGAAAAGAAAGCAAAAGACGAACATATAGTATATATCGATAGTAAAGATATGTTTCTTAAACGTGCACTTGAAAAATTATTAAATGAAAAAGATATTAAAAAATCTCAACATCAACAATTAAAGCGAGCCTGTGAAACAGCTTTAAGTTCCATAGCAATTGATGTTCAAACCTCTCAGTAAGATTAATCAATTACAAAAAAATTTCTATTCAATTGTTCTGCTCTTATTTTTAGAACAAATGAATCATCTATTCTACCATCAACTGATCAGCAATCACTTAATGCTGAAAAGTATTTCCTTCCATTTGAATTAGCTTGTGCATCAAATCATCCTCGAATGGTTGATACTGCACTTGATTGTCTTCAAGTAAACATTTATTACTGGTGTTTTGCATTGAATTTTATTTTGCTATTCTCTAAATAGAAACTGCTTTTACATGGACATTTGATTGGAAGTGCTGCTGATCCAATTGATCCATCAAAATTATTAATTGACCGCATTGTATCGACAATATGTATGTGTTTTCGTGGTGTACAAACTGAAGAACAAGTTGAATTACAAATCATAAAAGTTTACTATTGAATTTTATTATTGAAAGATAAATAATGTTTTTATTTAGGCACTTTTAACTATTATGACATCTCAAGTAATTGAAATTCATCAACGTAGTGTTTTACAAATCGTAAAAACATGCTTTAACATCTATTTAACAAGTCGTTCAAAAATTAATGAAGCAACAGCACAAGGATCTTTATCACAAATGTTAAATGGGATTTTCTCAAAAATGGAACAAAAAATGGTTTTAAATTTTACTCGTGACTTTTTCTAATCCATAAATATACTTGTAGGCTTTATTAACTGAACGACGAAAACAATATCAAGAAGAATCAACAACATCCACTAATATTGAAAATGAAAACGTACCAACGGGTAAAATTATTATTTACATTGTTTTTCTAATTATATGAAAAATAATTTTATTTTAGTTGTCAAAGAAATGCTTGATGAATTAGTGGAACAAATATGTTACGGTAAAACAGAAGGGAGAAAAACGAATTCTTCAATAAAATGTTTTCAAATAAATTTAGACGAAGCAACTCAAGGAAACGAAAATGCGTTTTTATCTACTAATGAAATTATTGAAGATACACACTCAACACCAGATGAATTTCATAATACAATATCCAGGAATACTATAGGTATATTTTTCATGATTCTAACGATGAAGGCACATGTAATCTGCGAGATATTTTGAATGAATTGATATGGTTTCTTAGAAAAGCAGCATAGAAAACTCTAGATAATTGTGATGATCTGTATATTTTATTAAATAGATTCTCAATCAACTGGGGATCCAGTGTTTATCAAGAACACGACATCAAATTCTTTGTCCGATGATGAATTATCAACTGATAATTGTTTTAAAAATGCGTATTATGTCTTTCGTGCATTATGTAAATTATCCGATCGAGATATTAAAGATAAAACAAATACTGATCCAAAGTATGTCGTTAGTATTATTGAATTCTTTTATTATAATTTCTTTTCTCATTTTTAAAGAACAAATTTGGATTTAAAATCTCGAATATTTTCATTACGTTTAATATTGCAAATACTTCAAACATCAGGTCCTATATTTCGTTCGTCGGAAGATTTTCTTTATGTTATTAAAACATATTTATGTGTATCGTTATCCCGCAATGGTGTTTCATCGATAGCAGAATTATTTGAAATGGCTTTATTTAATTTTGTTGAATTAATCGATAAATTTAAATCATATTTAAAAATACAAATTGAAGTAGGCGTTTATTTTTTATTCGAAGATGAGAGATTATCTGTATTTGTTCTAATTGAATGTTGAAGTTTTGGATTATAGAAAACATTTGCGTCGGATTTCAATGATGTTTCAGTAAGAGGTTCAGTTGAGGTGATGCTTGAAATAGGTGTTAAGGGTAATGGTATTGTTGAATTAGGACAAATCGAAGGTGATAGTTGTGTGAGATAGTCTTCGATTTTTTGTTCGCATAATTCACATAAATCAAATATTGTTGGCTTCTGATTACTGTACCATTCTTCTTTGCTACACTAGAGAAAAACAAATAGAGCATCAGAGAAGTTTAAAAAGTATGAGGTATGTTGGTGGATGAGACAAAAACCTGGATGAACCTACTTATCGGTAACTAAATAAAATATCCTACGAGTCGTAAATTCTTCTGGCCCTCACTGCACATTAAAACGATATTTACTCAGCATCTTCGTCTTCTTCGTCACTATCCATTGAAATGTGTTCTTCATCGATAGGGTCGCTAATAAAATGATTAACACAGTGTTGACATAAATTTAATTGATCAAAATATTTAGCTATTAAATCTAATGTTGATAGATTCCAATTGAAAAAATGTTTCCAACGTTCATTAGCTTCATCGACTCTATTTAATGTTTCATCACTCAATTGTTTTTTGCGTACACTTGAGTTAAGAACTAAATGTCGACTGTGATGTTTCTTAAGTTGATCGAAAATTTGAACATTCTTTTTGTTAATATTTAAATAAGAAAAATTCTCAGTTACAAAAATATCCTTCGCATACATAATATTTTCGAGCGCATTTTGTTCTTAATTTTTTAGGTATTATTTCGTGAAATATTTCTAACCATACTTGAAACATCAACTAGTTCATTTCGTCATAAATGGCTTGTTATTCAAACATTAGCTAAAATTTCTGCAGGTACCGTTCCATCTACTTATGTAAATGAATAAACTCCTATGTTTTAATTATAGATGCTCAAATTATTGTTGATTTATTTATTAATTATGATTGCTCATTGCGTTCAGTTAATATATTTGAACGTCTTGTTATTGTTCTATCACGCGCAGCACAAGGACGACAAGCAGAGGAACTTGGTAAGTTCACGAATCAACTGATGAATAACTCCGCTTAATCAAGGCCCAATGCTGTGTCATATTAATAGAGAAATGCAACATTCTATATTGTTTCATGATATAATTTAATATGTAATTCAGTTATGCTGATTTTTCTTCTAAATAGGTTGTAGCCCAACAGAAGAACATAATTTGAGAATGAAAGGTCTCGAATGTCTTGTATCAATTCTAAGATGTATGGTTGAATGGAGTAAAGATTTATATGTCAATCCACATCTACAAAGCAATTTAGGTCTGTTGCCAGCATCGTACATCCGTTGTTCTGTTTTATTTCAATAAAACTATTTCCTAGGACCCGATTCGAAACCATTGCATGACAATGGTTATGATCAAGACAGTGGTCGATCATCATCAGGATATTTTGCTAATGGCATCCGTCGTGCAGATTCTAGTGGCTCGATAAATTCATCTCATTCGAATGGTGGTCTTTCATCGGAGCCATCTAAAAATGTGCTCGACTTCGAGATTGTTCGTCAACGAAAAGAATTATTAGAGAAAGGAATTGATTTATTTAATCAAAATCCTAAAAAAGGCTTAGAATATTTATCTGAAAAAAATCTTCTCAATAATGAACCAGCAGATATAGCACAATTTTTACATTCATATCACGATGTATTAGATAAAACATTAATTGGTGATTGTTTGGGACATGAAGACAATCATTATAAACAAGTTATGTATGCATATGTGGATCAAATTGATTTTACAAAAATGGAATTCTTAGTTGCACTACGAAAATTTCTTTCCGGATTTCGTTTACCTGGTGAAGCGCAAAAAATTGATAGATTAATGGAAAAATTTGCAGCTAGATTTTGTGAATGTAATGCACAGTAAGTTATAAAAACAGGATCGATTCTATGCTAAAAAGTTTCAGAATCACTTTGAATAGTCAACCGTCGTTTATGTTTTGTAATTTGAATGCAAAAATAATAGAGTGAATGTTTCTTATCAGACAAGTAGATTCTTCTAAAAGAATAATTAAATTCGTACGTTTCGTTTTAGTTTGGAAATTTTTGCCAGTGCCGACACAGCTTATGTTCTTGCCTATTCGGTAATAATGTTAACAACAGATTTACATAGTAAAAACGTAAGAAAGAAATGATTTGTATTTGTTTGTATAATTTATTTATTTTTAATCAAGGTTAAGAATAAAATGACTAAAGAACAATATATAAAAATGAATCGTGGTATCAATGAAAGTCGGGATTTACCCGAAGAATTTCTTTCGAAAATCTATGATGAAATTGAAAGTGAAGAAATTAAGCTCAAAGTAACAACATTAAGACGTGGTGCTAATGCAGTTAATGCAGGTGGAACTAAAGAAAGTATGCTTGCAATTCAATATTCTATGTATTCCTAAAACCTTAGGACTGCAATACCTTTTTGTCGCTCCGTATAAATGTACATATATATATATATATTCATAGATGTGACCAGTGATAAACAACGCGAACTTTTATTTTATATGCAAATGAAAGATGTTGAATGTGTGGCACGTGATTTAATGTCGAATGCTGGATCGAGTACTGAAGAATTTGCTACTGCAAAACATCTTGAACATGTTCGACCAATGTTTCAAGTAAGAAGAAAAATCGTATTTTCTCTTCTGATAAATACAAAAACAATTGCATTTTTTTAAAGAAAGCATGGTCACCATGTTTAGCAGCATTTAGTGTTGGTTTACAAGATAGTGATCATATTGATTTAGCTCATCTATGTTTAACTGGCATTAATTATTCTATTCGTATTGCTTGTATCTTTCATATGAAGGTTTGCTATTAATTAAAAGAAAATTTTCCTGTTAAATTAATTGATTTTTTTCTATGTAAATTAGCTTGAACTTAATGCTTTTATTCAAGCTTTATCTCGTTTTACATTGCTAATGACAACATCACAAGTGATGGAAATAAAGCCAAAAAATGTTGAATGTCTTAAAACATTGATATTAGTTGCACAAACTGATGGAAATTATCTTGAGGAAGCGTGGTATGATGTAAGTATAGATATAGAAATACTGTAAAACTATTATCACGTCGATATTTAGATTTTAAAATGTATAAGTCAACTAGAATTAGCACAATTATTTGGTATCAATGCTAGTAAAGGAAAATTAAATGTCTCAAATCATCATTCATATCCAAATTTACAAGCAAATAATTCATACACATTTAGCTCACCATTTGACAATCTTTTTTATTCAGAAAAAGGTTTGTATTTTGAAGAGTTTTCAAAGCCGAGAAATGATCAATGTTTGATGTGCTTTAAGAACTGCATTAGGAGATGGAAAATGTACTTGAGGATGTAAAGATAAGAAAAATAATCTTACCTATCCAGTTAGTTTTCCTCTTATTCCTCTGGAAATAATCATGCCGTTATAGCCAGTTGTCCTTTTTGTCCTAAAAAAAAACTTTGTAAAGAATTTTTGGTAAAATGAATTGTTTTCTCATATTATAGGTCAACTATCTAAGCGTATGCAAACAATACAGGATCAAATACATGAAACAAGTTCTCAAAATATTGTCGTTTCTGTAGATCGTATATTTTCGGGTTCAGCTCGACTTGACGGTGATGCTATTGGTAATAGAAATGAAAAGAAAAATGCCGTTCAATAATGAATCTATATCTTTATTTAGTGGCCTTTGTTCGTAGTTTATGTCATGTATCAATGGATGAATTACATTCTAATCCACCGCGAATGTTTAGTTTATTGAAATTAGTTGAAATTTCATATTATAATATGGGTCGTATTCGTCTTCAATGGTCAAGAATATGGGAATTCGTTGGTGATCATTTTAATAAAGTATGAAAATTCATAATGTTACATTAACAAAATTAAAACGATCCGAGTTTTTTCATTTGTATATTAGGTCGCATGTAATCCATTACAAGACGTTGCATTTTTTGCCGTTGATTCTTTACGACAGTTAACAATGAAATTTCTTGAGAAAGGCGAATTTCCAAATTTTCGTTTTCAAAAAGAATTTCTTAAACCATTTGAAGTGATTATGAAAAAGAATTCGTATGTTAGACATTCATTAGCTTTCATAAATATAACTGTTCTTTCTTTCGGGAAAATAATTATCAGGTCATCAACTATACGTGATATGGTTGTTCGTTGTGTCACACATTTTGTTGATTCTCAAGCAAAAAATATTCGATCTGGCTGGAAAAATATTTTTAGCGTATTTCAAATGGCTGCTGCTGATACAGATCCACAAATTGTTGAATTAGCCTTTCAAACATGTTCACATATTGTTGGTAAAAACAAAATTCTCTTGCGTTTAAAACATTTTACTTTTCGAATTAAAATAGTTGTTGTATTTGATCGACAATTTGCATCAGTGCTGGATAGTTTTCAAGATGCTGTTAAATGTTTATCAGAATTCGCATGTAATGCTTCGTTTCCTGACACATCAATGGAAGCAATAAGGTTAATTCGACAATGTGCTAAATATGCAGCAGAAAAACCACAAGTAACGATTATGTTTGTTTTTATGTAGTTCTGTTTTTCTAATCTATATGATCTTCAATAGTTTTTTCATGATCACGCTGCAGAAGATTTGATTAATGTACCAGAAGAAGATCGAGTTTGGGTCAAAGGATGGTTTCCAGTTTTATTTGAATTATCATGCGTCATTAATCGATGTAAACTTGATGTGAGAACAAGGTAAATAAACTTTATTTGTATCCTATTCGGAGTAAACTCACATTCCTGGCTTGTTCTGCACTGTCAATATGTGAACAATATTAAATTCAAACTGATCTATATTTTAGAGCCTTGACTGTCATGTTTGAAATAATGAAAACTTACGGTGAAACGTATAGTCAAAATTGGTGGGTAGAATTATTCAATGTTGTTTTTCGTATTTTTGATAATATGAAATTACCCGATACACAAATTGAAGTAAAATTACGAAAATTTTGTTAACTACTTCATTAATTCATATTTTTATTTTCAAGAAAATTGAATGGATGACAACAACATGCAATCATGCTCTATATGCGATTGTTGACGTTTTTACACAATTCTATGATGAAATCCCTCCACGACTTATTGATAATCTCTATTGTCAATTGAAATGGTGTGTTAATCAAGGTAATTGATGATTTGAAATCGATAAATAAGTTGATTATTATTTATTATAGATAATGAAATATTAGCAAAATCAGGAACAAACTGTTTTGAAAATTTTGTTATAACTTGTGGTCAACGTTTCACACCACATATATGGGAAAGAACATGCGCTTGTATATTAGAAATATTTCGTTCAACATTACCAGAAATGTAAGAGCTAAATAATTCGATAGTGTTATTTATGAAATCGATTTTTGATCTCACACACACAGAGCCGATAGAGATTTCATTTAGGTCACTAAACAGTTACCCAGAAATTTCTTTTATATAAACTATAGAAAATAATGACAGCAATCGAAGGATAGAAACAATACTGATACTACCAATTAAACTAAAGTTCTTTATCGAGTTATTCATTTTTGATAAGAAATACTGCTCGAACGAGCTACGTTCAGAGCTGAATAACTAACTCCAGCTATTATTTACTTGAACATTCCGAAGGTCTTACTACGATTGTAACTATTTTTTTTTAGTCTCATGACATGGCGACATGATGCAGAATCTAGCGGAACAATTGCAATCAATGACACATCTGTAAATATTTTTGTATTATAATTCAAAATTAAAACACTATTTTCTTTTTTTTTCGTGTTAAATAGTTACCCGATCGTACTGATAGTTCATTTGATTATTCAATTGTTGAATCAGCGTCAAGTCAACATAATCGTATGGTACAAGCTGGTAATACCGCTAGTTTAAATAGTAGTATATCGGACCAACAAGAATTCAATTTAAGTAATCGATTATCACCTACGAATAGTATTGAACGATCAAGTAAATGAAAGCTGAATAATAGAATGACATTTCCTCTTCTTTTTCAAAATAGAAACTCAATCTGATTTTCATATTTTTCAAATATTAACGATAAAATGTATCGTACAATTAGAACTCATACAAACCATAGATGATATTGTTTTTTATCCTTCAACAAGTAAAAAGGAAGATTTACAAAATATTGCAATTGCACAAGTAAGTTTCATAGAAAGAAAAATAAAATCGTCTTTAGTTAACTAATCATTTATTAATTAACATAATATTCATCTAGAAATTAACTTGGTTTCAAACAAAGGTATTTAACATTAAAAGATTTCGGGATATTGGGTTCGATCGTATAGTTTTTATATGCATGTACGATTGTATTTGCTCTTTAATCTAACTGAAAAAAATAAAATTTGATTTTTTTTGCTGATTTATTCAAAAAATCTTCTTCTATTTTATTTTAGGCATTAGCCAATGTTCCATCCGGTCAACAGGCTTTAACATATTTTGCAAATTCTGACGATTTTCGTGATGATCATGGCATGTATAATAACATGGGCCTTGATCAATTGCTGCTTCTTGTTGATTGTCTCATTGAATCGCATATGTTTGCTCGCGCTTTTAATTCCAATCACGAACAACGAAATCTTTTATGGAAAGCTGGTAAAAAATTGAACGAAAATTTTCTTGTTCATGATTTGACTGTTTATTTGTTTTATTTTCGTTGAAGGGTATCGAGGAAAAGCAAAACCAAATTTATTAACACAAGAAACTCATAGTATTGCATGTGCATTTCGAATTCTTTTCCGATTGTTTAGTGATCCGAAAAGAAGTGATTCAATGGATACACTTAAAAGAAGAATACTCAAGTAAGATATTTAAATTCAAAAATAGAAAGCTGTTAGCGTAATCTCGATGAGATTTAAGATAAAATTGAATAATTACAATCGTGGAATAATAAATCTAACGAGTATAAGATTCTCCAAGTGATAAATTGCTTTGTTTTACCGCATTCAGCATACTTCTATGAAGACAAAATAATCTACGACGTACCAGAATGTTGTTTTGAAAGATGAACTTAACTAAGCGCAAGTAAAGAAAACAAAATCTTTGCATTGGTCATGCAATAAAATCGATACAATTTACACTGAGATCAATATTTATACATATTTTTATTCACAGATTGACTCATGGTAGTTTGGAATATTATGTAACATTACAATCTGAAAGTCATCGTGACGCATGGACAAGTGTACTCATATTAATATTTACAAAATTTCTCAAACTTAATGAAGATCAAGTAAAATATTGCTAAAATTTTTATGACATTAATTTTCCTTTTTTTATACTTTAGTTCAAGTATTTTTCAGGTGATATATATTCAATTGTAGCTGAAACAGTAGTATTCGATTTAAAATCTGAACTACGTTATATATTACGAGAATTTTTACTTCGTGTTGGCAGTGTATTTAATGTGACCAGCGAATTAATTGGCTCGAACTAATAACAAAATACTATCTTTACATCATTCCTTCTCAGTTGAATCTGTTCACATGAGACACACATATACATTCCGTACTAATTGTCTTATTTCACCAATTTTCACGTTGTTGTTGCTGCTGCTGCTGCAGTTTCTGTTTTCTTTCTTCTCTATAGCACAGTGATTATTATTTCTATAGTTATTTTTTGTTTGTTTTATCCTTAACTTGGACACATTTTAACTTCTGCGCCGTATCAGTAAAACAACTTGTCCATGAAACAAAAAACAATCTAGATACATGAAACCCATACACACAATGAAAATTACATATAAGTTTATTTGAAAAAGAGATGATAGAGAGAAAGAATTAAAATAAATAATTTCTTTTTCCTGGTGTGTGTGTGTGTGTGTGCGATTTATTATCGATAAAATAAATTTAACAAAATATTAGATGTTATTTCCTTGCGATTATTTTGAAATTTTATCATGTTATAATCAATATCATTGTGGTTTATTTGAATGGATGAGAAAAAGAAGGCGTGGAAATATCGTATGGGGAAAAAATAAAATCCACAAAGTTAAAGAAATTTCAGTAGCTTTCAGCTGAATTATGTTTATTTTAAATGTTAAGTACTTCCAGAGTAAAACTCCAGTAAATGTCTTTAATCTCGCTTACACTTTTACATGATTGGATGGAGCTTGATCAGTAGTTTCCGACTAACATTTGATAAAATTTTTGATCGAAAAAGATTATAGATTCTGGATAAACAAAAATGAAAAAAAGACTGACTATTCGAGCAGCTTCTAAAAAGAACCTTTCACATTTTTGCTCATTTTACATAACCACGAACTTTTGCAACCAACTCTTTGGCATTCAACATTTAGAATTCAGTGGAAACATGTATATTTAAGAGTATGTTGTCGTTGATGTTTCTCTAAATACAGCCGCCTCGATATATGAATCCGCACAATTATCAACTTGCTCTTGCAAATCTATATAGTCTTCGTTTTCAAGTAGTTCTTCAACTGTCATCTATGTATACTGTTGAAGTAAACGATTCAGAAACAATAAAAGATACACAAATCCAATGCTTTGCAACTAAAAAAAGTCTGATTTCATTAAATCAATTAATTATTGATTACTATTTTCATGCTGAAAATATCTGACGTACTAAAATCTTGTTTTGATTTAAAAAATAAACAACGTCTTATAATATATCTACTGCCATGCGCTCAATCTATCAAGTCCATTTATATTCTCATTTTTTCACAATAGTTAATTGAAGAAGGTCGAAAAAATAAATAACTGAATAAAAATAAAAGTTATTTTTTGGAATTAACCTAATTTTTATCTCCATCACAAAAAAAAGCCAATGTAAAAAAAATATAAAACGTTGATGTTGAAACATAAATTTAAAAACTAATCGAAAAAAATAATGCTGAACAGAAACTCTTTATCGTTTTGTTAATTGTTTTTCCCAAAACAAGCAAGGGTACTAGTACAATTCTTCGTTACGATCAGCTCGTCACATATAAAGGAAAGAATATACTAGTTAAATTAAGTGATTCAGTTTACTATGTCATTTTATTAATCATCTTGATACATGTATTCTTTTACAATATTCAGACTCTTCCTTAAAAATACACTTTAAAACAACAAGCTAGAAAGGTCAATCTACAGTTTATCCATTTTAAATAGAAACCACCAAAAATTAAAGTTTAATTCTAAATAAAACCCTGCAAAGTTAAACTTGAAACATATAACTACTTTTTTAATTAAAACGTGTTTTCTCTGATTTTCGGTAATTTAATATCAATCCGAGAAAGAAACTCGTTTCCATCGTGCATTCATAGATCAATCGTTAGGACACAGGTCGAGATGACTAGTTATCATCTAGTCATAATTACATATATTTCTTTGTATCCATCAACAATTTAGTTCGAATTAGTTATTTGTTCGTTTCTCGCTCATAGAAAAAGCTTCACTTTCTTCTTTAACTTCTCTTTATTAGTACGTATATAAAGAGCATTTCTTTTAGTAACGAACAACTCCTCATTCTGAACAGTGAAGGATTTTTTACTCTCCTTTTACTTGTAAACTCTTTCTAATATCAGCATACTGTTTTGACCGTGTGCTAGTCTTTTTTTGTTGCTGTGGGATATGCGTTTCATTGAAGCAGTCAGAAGCGCAAAAGCTACATCCCACCCACACGCTGAATAGTGGTCGTTGTGATTTCTCCCGACCTAGCATGCTTCTGGGTTGGTCCTAAATTGTGGTCGTTGTCATTTCTCACGACATACCATGTGTTATTGAAAGTCCTAAATAGTGGTCGTTGTCATTTCTCATGAC